TTTTCTGCAGGTTTTTAAAAGACTCCAAAACAGCCCTCTGAAACATCACAAACCAGGCCTCCCTCATCTGAATTGCTCTCAGCATCTCATCTTAAAAGTTTCTGCAACAGCCCATTAATCTCTAAACACTCAATGGTTTTTCTAGCCGAAAGTCCCAAAGTCCTTCCTCAATCCTCCCCAAACATAGCCAGGTCTGTCACAGCAATATCCACTTCTGTAATCAATTTGTATCTTAGTTGGTTGGGGTTTTTATTGCTGTGATAAAATACCACAACCAATAACAACTTGGGAAGGGAAGGGTTTATGTCGTCTTACAACTCTGAGGTCACACTCCATCACTGAGGATAGTTAGGGCAGGAATTTAATATAGAGGCCGTGGAAGAGTGATGCTTACTGGCTTTCCCCCCATGGCTTGTTCAGCTTGCTTTCTTTTAACACCTAGGTCCACCAGTCCAGTAGTGGTACCGCCCATAGTGGGCTGGAACCTCCCACATCAATCATCAGTTAAGAAAATGTACCACAGGCATTCCCACATGCCAATCTAGGGAAAGTATTTTCTCAGTTGATCTTTATTCTTACAAAATGACTAAAACCTGCATCCAGTTGACATAAAACTAGACAGTGCAATGTGCTTGGGGTCTCAAGACACATGGTAAAAGCATGGAATTATTTGTGTGGGACTCTTTCTCTGTACACAGTTCTCTCCTCTCACTCACCAAGACTGCCTCGGGCACAAGTTACTGTCTATGTGAGCATCACCATATTGTACCTATCAAATCAAATTATCAAAAATCATATTTAATAATAATTAAGATAATGAAAGGGTAGTGTGTTGTTATTATTATTATTATTGTTGTTGCTATAAAGGCAAGCATTTTTAGATGTTGCCGTATTTAACCCAAGCATCTCTTTACTGTAATCACTCTTGTTATAGGTAGGAATGCTGAGAAACAGCACTAATCAACTTGCAAATCCTCACAGCTAGTTTTTGACAAAGTTGGGAAATGAACCCCATTTCTCTCATTTCAGAACTCAGAACACTTTCATCAGACTAGATTAGTTCCACCTAGTTCTGTAGCAAATAGTTTGCCAGTGTTATTACAAGCTCAAACGAGGAGCCAGGAGGCAGACAGCTCCTTAGTGGAGACAGGGAAACAGACTCTAGGTGGGTTAGAGTTTTCTTCACTTATACATCTAAAATGGCCAACTCGGTGCTTCTCCCTCACCAAAACAAAGACTTGGTGGCTTTTTTCCATTAAGAAATTGTTTGATGAGACTTTCAAATCTCCCCCATGGAGGACTGTGATGGGAGCTGCCTTGGAGGCAGACAGATAGGAGAGGGGTCATGACTAGGGAAGAAAGGTGATGAGTCTCCAAGATGGCTGACTTCTTCCTCACTCTCCTGACTTGAGTTAAAAGCCTGATGGAGGCATTGTAGGCTTTTGTTTCCCACCAGCAGGCCCCCTGCTGATGGGCTGGCTCAATAAGTTCAAGGTCTGCTCTGGACACACCACAGAACAGCTGTGGGTCAATCAGCCATCTTTGCTATCCCTAATTTAGGAGATGAAAACTCATTAGAGGCTTTAAAAGCTCTAGAAAAGAGACTGAATTTTTTGACTTCTCAAGTCAAGTACACCTCTGCTTCACGGAGGATCTTTTCTCTGTGTGTCTGTTGCATGTGTGTGTTTCCCCGCCCCCAGTAAATGTCCTTCTTAACTACTAATTCATTCTCTCTCTCTCTCTCTCTCTCTCTCTCTCTCTCTCTCTCTCTGTGTGTGTGTGTGTGTGTGTGTTTGTGTGTTGTTCAATCCCCTGTGACTGTCAAAACCATCGGCTCTAGGAGAATTCTCCAAACCGTAAGTCCTAGGGGAAAGAGCATTCATTTCATCACCAAGTATAAAAAAGTTTTGGCTTTGCCAGACCAACTTGAAATTTGATGTTCATATCCCTTTCCTAATTTGGAAGACTGTCTTGGTGTGTTTTGCATTCGTGCACTCTCTCTCTCTCATTGTGTATGTATGTTTATGTTTATTTATTCATTCTTACTTTCAATAAAACTAAGTTTAGTTCTGAGACCTTCCTTTTCCCACTTTCTTATTCTTTAAATCTACAGAGAATAAGAACCCATTCCTGCAACCCTCCATGACCTTACCAAACTCACCACAAAGACTGGCAAAGGAGTCACAGACATAAAATGCATGGATACTGTGTCTAAGCTCAATGGGTCTCCTTTTAATGAGCAAAAAGCCAATAAGTACAATCAGAATATAAATAATTGAGAAAGATTTCTTACCTATAGCAGGCAAGGAGAACACAGGAGTTATTTTTAAAGCAGTGTCCTCCTGGGACAAAATAAGTTTGGAAATTTTAATTCAAAGGCCAGGTATATTCATATTAGAAAGCACACTGTAGCTCGGTATGCATTCCTAAGCATGCTCACGCTATGATACGATATATATTGCTGAATATTCTCAGTTTAGGGTTAAAGTTCAAGAAGAGAAGATTGTGAATGCACTGTGTTGGAGGGAATGGACCATGCTTATCTTAATGTCATGGAGAAGATGTTCAAAAGCAAAAGGAACACTTTCAGTCACATGACTTAGGAGGAGAAATGTAAGGTGGAGGAGGAGGGAAAGGAGGAGGAAAAGGAGAAGAATTTAGATTTAGTGCAAACCAAAAGGCAGGACACTTTGAAGATATGTTAATGTGGGAGTCTGCCCTTGCTCGCATCTACCTTTCTTGGCTGCTGACAACAAATTCCTAATAATTTCATCTAATGGATACACTTGGTAAGGAACCTGGTCTCTGGCTAATTACTAGAAAAATATTGTAAAGAACAAAGAGAAGTAACTATAAACCTGGGGCAAGATACCCTCCAGATGATATGTGGCAATCCAGATATGTGGCAATGTCTGGATTCATTGGTTCAACTAGGGTAAAGAGGCTGGTAGTTGCCATTCATTAGGGAGAGGCCAGGAATGCTTCCACGTCCTCTAATGCTCAGGCACCACCAAATGTCAATAGTGCCAGTCTTGAAAAAAAAATTCCCAAACAATAGACTATCACCGCTTCTCTTGTTTACACATCAGAACAAATGGGCAAATTCTTATTGCTAAAGTGTTAATCCTGAGAATTGTAAGGAAAAAACAAGTTCTACAATTTTGAGTCAAATTTGAAGCAAGCTTTTGTGAACAGAGGCAGTGCTTTTGTTCCCTGGCCACCCAGTCCCAAAGAATTACAAGAAACATATATTAATTACAAATTGCTTGACCTATAGCTCAGGCTTATTACTAACTAGTTCTTAAAACTTAAATGAACCCATTTCTATTGATCTATATTTTGCCACATGGCTTCATGTTCTCTAGTATATCTTGTTGCTCCAACAGCTTGTTGGCATCTCCTCTTCCTCTGCACTTCTCCCTGTATCTCTGCTTTTATTATTTTCCACCTGGTTTTATTCTGCCTTGCTATAGGCCAAAGCGGCTTCTTTATTAACCAATGGTTATATAACATTTTCACAGCATACAAAATGGTTATCCCACAAGCTTTAATTAAATACTGACAGGATGGACTTTGGTCAGGACCACTCCCTGGAATTCCTAGCAAGTTGCCCCAAGACATGTGTTATGGGGACTTTTAAGAACAAAACCACACTGCTACCATAGCACTACAATACCCAGCATTCCAGGAAGTTTCCTGATCCTTCAGCAGGTGGAGCTTGCAGGTTAACTGTGGGTCTGATGGAAGATATCACAGATTTTGATTGCAGAACATAGAGAAGACTCTGGGACTTTGGACTAGGAAAGTGGTTGAACATTATAAATGGGGCTTAATGGGGAGTCCTAGAAGAAGCCTGGAAGACAGTACTGCGGGGAGCAATATGAACTGTAGCCGCTCAGCTCAAAAGGTTTCAGAGGGGAGGAACACTAGAGAACATTCTTGTGATACTTTGGCAGAAAATGTGGCTGCTTTCTGCTCTTGTCAAAAAAAAAAATCTATTAGAGGCTAAATCAAACAAATCTGATGGACTGATGTCATTAGCAGAGGAGATCTCACGGTAGCATAATGATGACTCTGCTGTGTGGCTATTAGTGAACCCTGTTGATCTGTAATGAAAAGGAGCAAGCTGAGCAAGGAGAAATATGAAATACACAGTTTGAGGAGGAAAGGAGAACCAAGAAATGTATTGTTGGAGTCAACTCCTTTGCTCAAAGAAATAAAATGTTTAAAGAAAGGCCTGTTTCAAAATGGAATAAAGGAAATGGAGCCCTCAGGGCAAGTCCCTAACCCAGCTAATTCAATAAAGGAAACCATCAGCAAGTCAAAGCTATATCAATGTAAGTCATGAGTGAACCAGTGTACCAACCTTTTTCTTTTGAGTCACCAACCAGCTCTTGACTCATGATGCAGAAACTTATTGGTTATGAATGCTTGGCCTGGCTTAGGCCCATTTCTGGCTAGCTCTTTTAACTTAAATTAACCTGTTTCTATTGATCTATGTTTTGTCTTTGGGCTTTTTACCTTTCTTTCTGTACATTAGTTTCCTGCTTTTTCCAATGTCTGGTTGAGTGGCAGTTGCCTGGCTTCTTGCCCTAGGCATGTCTCTCTCTTTCTCCCTCGTTCTCTTCTCCTTCTTCTTTCTTGAGCTTAGATTTCTCCTCCTACTTATTCTCTCTGCCTGCCATCCCTACCTACCCCTCTCCCACCTAGCTACTGACTGCTCAGCATTTTATTACACCAATCAGGTGCATTAGGCAAGCAAGGTAAAACAAAAGCAATACATCTTTACATAATTAAACAAACGCAGCATAAACAAATGTAACACACTTTTATACAGTTAAAGTAATAGTCCAAAGCATAAACAAATGTAACACATCTTTACACAGTTAAAGTAATATTCCACAATGGACCAGGTTCCAGGTCAACTAAGCAGAGGAACTAGGCAGCTTCAGCCACGTGGTTCTAGCTTTAAAGTCAAGGATACTGGAGTAAGAGGGTTGTTGAACATTCCTACATGGTTAAGAAAAATTGCAAAGGCCAGGCATGTGACAGGGGAATCCCTGCATGGAGGTCTTGAGAGATCATTGTGTGAAACTTTGAAGGTGAAGCCTGGATTGTGTTGGAGACCCCAAAATGCTGGAGATGCCAGAGTTGTGGGGTACCTGTCAAGGAGAAATGCAGACAGGTTGTAGAACTAGCAGAAAAGACAAGTGTGTTGTAATCAACAAAACTGCATGGGCTAAGAGATCCAAGGAGCCAATTAAGTCAGGATTTAGAGTTTGCCCTGCTGGGTTTTGGTCTTGCTTTGATACTGTATTTCCTTGCTGTGTCCCCTCTCTTCCCTTTTAGAATAGTTAGGTACAGTTTGTTCCATTGCATATTGGAGGTATGTGATTTGATTTTGATTTTTATAATAGATTATAGTTAAGAATTTCCTTGAGTCTCAAAAGAGACTTTGAAGGACTGTGTTTTTTTTTGTTTGTTTGTTTGTTTTATGTTGGATTAAATGCACTTTGCATTGTGATATGGCTACCAAGCCTAAAGAGGCCAGGGAGTAGAATTTGGTGGTGTGAATGAGAATGTGTCCCATTGGCTCATATATTGTAATGTTTGGTTCCCAGTTGCTGGAACTGTTCAGGAAAGATTAGATGGTATGGGCTTTTTGGAGGAGTTATGTCATTGGGGTAGGCTTTGAGGTTTCCAAAGCCCATGCTGGGCCCAGACACTCTCTGTCTCTCTGTCTCTCTCTCTGTCTTTCCTGCATATGGTTAAGATGTAAGTTCTCAGCTATATACCCTAGTACTACACCTTTCTGTCAGTTGCCATGCTCGCTGACATGATGATCATGGACTAACTCTATGAAATTGTTAGAAATCCCCCAGTTAAATGGTTTCTTTTATAAGCTGTCTTGGTCATGGAATCTTCCCAGCAATAGAACAGTAACTAGGACAGAGTAGAACTTGCTGGGAAAGGGTTTCAGCAGGACAAAGATGGGATAAGGGAGGGTAATAGGGAATGGAAATGTCTGAAATTTTTTATATACATGTATGAAATGATCAAATAAATATTTTTAAAAATCTTGCTCTAGAAAGTGGACTGGATTTTCTGCTCCTAATGGAAACATTGAAGACTCTGTAAGGGTGTGCTGTCCAAAATTAATTTAAATTAAAATTAGTTCAAATAAATTGAAACTTGAAACTTAATTCCTCATTTGGATTCGCCACATTACAAATGATCAATGGTTAGATGTGGCACGAAAATAATGTATTTTCAACATCTAGAAGTTCTTTGGAAAAGTAAGTCAAAATAAATAAATAAATAAATAAAAATTTAAAAAAAAGAAAAGTAAGTCAAGGAGAGGTCTTCTCCCAGCGACTTCTTAATATCATCCTGCTGTAGCTCTTTATCATGTCACAAGAAACCAAATGTTTAATAAATAGCTTTAAGAAAGATTAATATGACATATTTAATTTATTCACATTGTAAAAGCGATTTTCTAAACTTGAATGCTTCTGAAATATCTGCTGGCATTTCTCTTCATTAAGTGGTGCTTTATTTGTTTATAGATCATCACAGCTGGGGAGAGAGCAAGACCTTAAGCCTGGGATTAGCAACGCAACGTCATGTCATTGGCAGCTCAAGGACACAGGGCAGTTCTGAAACTCAGTCTCAGGGAAAGTTACAGAAGCGTTGAGTTCAAACTGAACTTGTCTAATCTTGAGGGACTTTGATTTGTGCCATCTGTTCGTCGTCAAAGAGGGGGCAAGGCAGAGACAACAGGCAGATATTGAGACAGGAGAAAAAAATATTCTCACCTGGGACGCTGGGTAAAACGGCTCACCAGCAAAGAAGCAAGTTCCTTTACGAGTGGCACCATTTGCTATGAGGCTACCAGCGTAGAGTTTATATTCCTTCCACATACACTTAGGTTAGAACAGGAGTGAGCCAGGTTCAAGGCCTGAAATCACACAACCTGGGGCAGGGTCATGTCTCCCCCTAATTCACACATACCTGTGAATTATAAGCAGCAGCATTAATGTTCACAGTGAAAATAGCTTGCCTTTGCACATCTTGGGAGTCTTATCAGTTATAGTCTTGTCCGGGACTCTCATTTAAGTTTCTTAGCAACCTGTAAAGACAGTAACATCAAACCTGACCCAAATCCTGCATCTAACGATTGTTAAAAGCAATCAGTCCGCACCCACATGTATGTCTTGATTTCTGCGCCCCTTCCTAATGAAGAGTCACACACCCACACTCCGCTATGTCTCTTTCATTTTGAGCGCTGACCCCTTCCTTTGACCTTGTACTCAAACCTATATTAAAATGTCTTTATTAAACCTTACCTCTGCTTCATCAACAGGGTAGTCCTGAGAGTCTCCTCTGTGCTTGCTCTGAATCCAGGTCCCTAAGTAACTAGGGGAACTCCTCGGGCAGCTGAGTGTGACAGTGGGGAGCTGTGCCTCCTTCCTCTGCCCCCCAGAATGCTGACAAAAGGTCTTGGGGAATCTAGAGGAGCAGGCTGATGCGTCCTATGCCACACACAGGTGCACTTTGCCTGATTCCACACTGACTTCCCAAGTCCTGTTCTGTTCCTATCATATCTTCCCACTACTTCCACATCACGGATGAGAAAATTGAGGTTCAGAGACATTAAGTGGCTTTGCTCAAAGTTTACACAGAAGCAGAACCCGAACTGGAAAACAAACATCCCAGTTTCCAAGCTTTCTGTGTTTGATTAGAAATTCTCAGCCGTTCAAAAGCCCTGAAGGAGCAGTCTGCTGTGTGCAGGACACACCCCTGCTGTTCAAACGCCTCCGCTTACCACTAAAGAGAGTGACAGCGCTGTGAAAGAAAATGACCTTCAGTGTGGCCAGAGAAGAGAAGAGGAAATACACACCAACTTAACCTGGACTCCACAGACTGGCAGGGTCAGCATACTCTCCCAGAATTACAAAGTGTATTCTGTAATCCCTCACCCCGAGTGGTTCTGTCTTTAGGAATCCACTGCCTTCGTCTACAGCCTAGTCCCAGAAATTTCTCTCTCCACTTGCCTGTTTGCCTCCAGCTTTCAAGTCCGGCTTCAGGAAGGCTTACAGTCTTTCAGTTTGTAAATTTCCTTTGGAAGAGCTCATTAAGCCCTTTGCTTCTGTTCCTGCCTCCTGTCGCCTCTCCTGGGTTGCGCCTTTTTTGCCCTTTTCCTTTAAAGCCAACAAAGAACCGAGAAAACTCCCTTACGTCATATTCTAAAACACAACTGTGTTTTTATCCCAGGTTTAATTACCAAAAGTGCTGCCCTTCTATAGGTCAGGCTTTTCAGAGAGCTCCATTATGCAGAACAGCAAGCAAACGCGAGATGTAGTCAACCTCACTGGCAGTCCAACCCCGCACAGAGCGGCCACTATCGAAACGCTGTAAACAGAAGTCTCCAGAAAGGAAGCTGCCCTGAGGGCTGTGCCTGACTGATCTTACAAAGCCCAAGCAGTGCTTCTTGAGTTAAGCCTATCTCTGCTTAGTGTCTGGGACAGAGCCGTCACTTGAAAAAGATCCACGCGTAAATAAGCTGAACATGCCCGTCTTCTCACTCTTTGTTCCCCGCTCAGCACCGGTATCCATTCTGTTTACCTCCCCACTGTCTTAGTCCTGGGGCTTTGCACCCCGCTGGAGCACTTCCTGGGGCTTTTCAACTGGACTTAAGCATGAGAAGCTGGAGGGGGAAAAGACAGATCCATCAACTACCTACCTGCTTCTGTTCCCCTGAGCTCCTGGACTTTAGACTGCCTGTGACCTTGGGTGACCCTTCTCCTGGGTGTCACCTTTCCATCAGTTCGGGAATGTTATCTTTAGTCCTTTTCAAGCCTCAGCATCCCATCTTCGATTAAAATCTTTAGCTAAACCAAATGAGTTTTATTTGTACCTTTGCCACCGAGACCCACTGAGTCATGAACAGTGATTTACCTCAAGGAGAACTAGCTTTGAAGCAACTCTGAATATGCTGTTTATATATTAAAGATGTAAACACACAAGGAAGCTCTCAAACAGCGAAGTCTCAGTTACTGAAGTTTTACTTGGGAATATTATATGACCGTACACATCCACTTCTATGTAATATGCATAATAGGGCAGCTAGCAGAGCTAAAAAACATATCTAAGTGTCAAAAAACTATCAGGATCATTAATAAATGACAGTTAACTCCTAGCTTGTACATGTATTATAGGGAAGTGTGTTACAGATACACACACATACACACACATTATATAGTAAAATAGTACCAATCAACCATTCATAAAATTAGTACATCTGTGGCCCCACTCATCAGGAGAAGCAATATATATATATATATATATATATATATATATATATATACATATATATATGTATATATATATATTTGTATTGTGGCTCCTTGAATATAGAAGGCGGGGGTCTGAGCAGGGCTCAGACATAGGCATGCTTTGGTTTATATTGCAGGGCAGCTTAAACTAATAGCCAAACCTGTTAAGACACAGGCTTGAACTACTGTAGCTTTGCGAAGTCACTTTGAGGATGACTCTGGGGGTCAGAACAGAAGTTCTTCCCCCAGCCATTGGCCTTGTCTTTCTCCACCTAATACTAGCTCATTATTATTCATCCTGTTTTTTCTTTCTCTAAAAGTAAGACACACCCAACAGCAACAATATCAAAAACTTGAAGAAAAGAAAAAAAGAGAAATAACCCTAAAATGCCTCATAACCTTTGCACAGTGAGCTAGCCAGGCTGTTTAGCCCTAAATTGACAAGTGACTGATAAACTAGCAGGAGAGGAGATGAGCTGGGGGTATTTTCTAGGCAAGAGCTACTCAAATACACATTTATAACTCATTGTTTTCATTTAACAATGTGTTTTAATATCTTTCCAGGTAATTGCCCATCTCTACATAGCATTTATTATTTCTGAAAAGCTTTTGATTGTATGAATTTTTCATGGCTTGTCTAGCCAACTCCCTGTTGTTAGAGATAGAGATTCTTTCTAGAATTCCTCATTTAAAATGATATTTTAGAAGATGTCTTTTTAGCTCCTCTCAGTTTCATCGGCAGAATCCTTGCCATGCCTGATTCTTCTCAGTGCAATGACCATAAGCTCTCCTTGCCTTCCTATGTCTGAGAGTTAGTCGTGATGGCATCAAAATACCGGGACTTCAGTAGTTACTGAATCTTAAGGGATGGGACCATCTCTCCAACCCAGTGCCTCTGTTGAAGCTGTATTGTTCTAGCAGAAAGAATCTGTTCCCCACATTATGCAGTATTAATCATGGAATCCTAAGTTATAAGTTAATATTATCTGCAATGCTCCTTTTCCTCAGGAATACTAGCAACAGCGAGAAGGGAGATACGAACTCTTCTGACTTTTTCACACTGGCCTAAGAACCACAAACCTTTGAAATCATGTGACAATTCGTAACCAGGACTGAGAGTGAATATGCATTTGGCTGCTGTCCCCACTGCATTATTCATGCCGTCACGAGGTTCTGCCCAAGAAATCCGTAGGTCATTGTATGTTCTGTAGTGTTGCCACATTAATGTGATCACAGCTCAGCGATCTAGAAAGTCACTGAAGAAAATACCATCTCCACTTCTGGCCTGAGATTCAGAGTGGCTGTATCAGAAACTCAGCTATTAATAAATGTTGCCTTTGGAGTGAGAATCAGGATAATTAAAAATTCTGGAAATTTCAATGCAAAACACACCAGAGACACATATATTTCAAAAATATGTATTTATCAAGTACCTTCTATGTACTTAAAGCTGTGGGAAGTGTTCAAGTTAAAGTGTAAAGGAAGAGTCACAGGTCCCTGCCTTCAAGCTCATATCCAAACTAGACTAATTACATGACTTTTTCATGCCACAGACCTGGAATAGTAAGTAGTATATAGTAGATATCAAGCCTGAATTTTTTCAATGCAAGGGCTGCAAGCTGTGCCTGCCTTCCTTGTGTCTGAGAGTTAGTTGTGACTGTATGAAGATACTGGGATTTCAGTAGTAACTGAATCTTAAGAGATTAAACCATCTCTCCAATCTAGTGCCTCTACTGAAGCTGGATTTTTCTAATAGCAAGGAGCCATTCCCTGTATTCTGCAGCATTAAGTGGCATCTGGTAATAGCATCATTTCTCTTATTTGTGGAATAAATGTGGAAAGGCAGGAATCCTAACGGCTAAGCTCTCAGCAAAATCTCCAGTTGCCACAAAACATAAAGATCTGCAGAGAAATACTTGAAAGCAGAAAAGAATGAAGCTGCATCAGGCAGCTTTGTGCCGCTGTAAGCATGTGAGGCTATTCACTCACAAGGAGAAAAGGTTTGGTAACCTCTTCAGAGGTTTAGTTCAAGACAGAGTGGCCCCATTGCTTTGGACCACTTATAACATTGGGAATCACGGCAGGAGCATATGCTGGAGTAAAACACCAACATCATGAGCCAAGAAGCAGGAAAAGACAAGGATCCCACATTGTTTTGGAGGGCACGCTTTTAGTGACGTAAAGACCTCTCACTAGACTCTACCTCCTAAATGTTCCACATCTCCCAATGGTATAATCTTATCAACCAAGCATTTAGTACATGGGACTCCAGGAGACACTGTCTGTATCCAAACCACATTGGTTGGCAGAGAAGCAAAAATGACCAAAGTTGAGCCCTGAAGATAGTGGAGGTGACAATGTCTTCCAAGTTGCTCCATTCCTCCTGAAGAGCCGGAACACAGCTTGTTGCTAACTTCCCTGGATGCTCCTTGATCACCATGATCAATGGTGTATTCTTTACAAAACAAGAGACTTGACAACTTTGAGTTGTCATTGTCTCAGTACCACAAGAGACATTTTATCCTCTTTAATGTTTCCTATCTACATGAGATGCAGTGCTCTCTTGATTTCTTTTCAGAGGCCCAGAGGGAAAGGCAAAGTGCACATAGATTTTAAGAGAAACATAGTAAAGTCTGGAACCATTGTCATTCTGCGTGTTGGTGAGCACATCCGAGAAGGAGATCCCTACAGTGTTTCCGTGGGAAGGGAATGTGTGAGGTGGTACTTGAAAAAAATTTTTAGCCTTGTTCCTCCTTCTGTGTTTCAGTTTTATTTCCATAATGAAGAAATGCAAATTTTATTTCCCATATTTTTTTGGTTTCCTTTTTTCTTGGCTTAATTAAATCTTACACGTATAGGATTTTAACTATTTCTTCCTAGTGCAACAGGAAAACTTACAATAAGAAGTTTTAAAGATTTGGCCAAAGTAGCTTGACTACTATTCAGTAATATAATTTTCATTGGAAAAGTTTCAATTCTATATTTTAAGAAAAAAAATCCCAATTTAGCCTGATGCTTTTATGGATTTGTAAAGAGTGGCATGCAGTGTGGTGCCAAGGAAGCAAAGTAAATTTGGAGAGCAGTACTCTTCCATTTGAGTACTCCACACATCCTAGTTATGTGAGATTACCAAATTAACCTTCTTGCAGCTCAGTCTTCTCCGCTGTGAGAGAAGAAGTCCGAGCCGGCTCATAGAAACTGTGAGAGGAAAAAGTCCAAGCCTGCTGCTATGGAACTGTGAGAGGAAGGCTGGAAGAGGCTAAGATTAGGTATGCTGGGTCCCTTACTCACTCTGCCCCCTCTTTCATTATGCTGAATCCTGGTTCAAATAAACTTCATGTTAATGTGAGATTTTCTTTTCTGCTGATAAAAACTTCATTGATTTATTCTGAGTATAGTAAGGATAAGTTTTGGACAAAATACTAAAAGCAGCCCCTTTAAGTCATTTAGAAGGAGCAAAATGAGCAGATTTGGGAGAGCAGAGAAAGAGAGATTGTATTTCATTCACAGTCTATGTTCAATGTGGTCCACGGGGTGGCAGAACACTGGTAGAAAGAAATCACAATCCTGCTGGTCTGAGGAACAAGAAACTAGATCTAAACCAAAGCTCCTGGGAAGAGCTAGGATGTTCCAAGGGTCAGAGAGCATCCTGAATTCAGAGCCCTTGGCTTTGGCTGACCCATGAGCCACATATACACAGTGCCAATGAGAAGGAACTCAGGTGCAGAGAAAAGATGGCTGGATGGGAAACAGCAGTCACCCCAAAGAAGTAGGGATTTCAGTTAATGATTTCCTGTTGAAGCTAATAACAAACCATAGAGTCTCCATAATTTTATAGTCACAGTGTCTAGTGTGCAATGCAAAGTTATTAAAAGCATGCAAATAACCAAAGGAAAGGATACATTCTCAAGAAAAAAAGCATTATCAGGGGAGACCAACCCTCAAATTATCCATACACAGGAGTT